GGCGGGGGGGGAGGGGGGGGCGTCAGGCTGTCGAAAAATCCGCGCGGAGAGACAAACCTTAAGCTGAAACCAAGACAAGCTATACAAACCAAGGCAATCCACAAAACACGCCGGCAGGCCGGCGGATTTGTTTTACATATTTGTTCTTTGGTTCCAGCAAATCCAATTTGTATGACCAGGGGGAAAGACTGGGCGTTTGATTGAAAGGAAGCCTTGCCACACAACTCTTTGGACATCAACCGGCCACCAGGGCCGAGGTGGACTCGAGTTCGAACGAACGTCGAGGCAAGACACGTACCAACAAACTGGGCCCTGCTTCGTTGCTGGTACAACCAAACTTGGAAGACACCTGAGGGCTTTAATGGGCTTCATAAGATTCTACTAAGGATATGTTAAATCGTATTTTCCCGGAAATTTCACTGAAGGTTTTGCTTTCACATTTGCTCTCTCTGCCGAAGTCTTTAACGGGCACAGTCCATCCTTCACCGGAAAAGACTATGGACATGTCCTTTAGACAGGTGCTGGACAAAAATCCAATCAATACCTCTATCATCCTCTATCGATGTGCCTCACGGCGAAGAAGGAACATCATGTTCATGTAATACATCCGGGTGCCATCGGGTGTGTAGCATCAATGCTTCAGCCAGCATGAGAAACTGACCGAAACTCACGAAGCTTCACCTGTTTGCGTGAGTCATGGCAGACACCCGTCTGGTGGAGTTTTGGTGGAGTCCAGAAACTGGGAAGATGTTGTAACGTACAGTCATTCCGACCCAGGTGCCGGGCAGTGTTTGTTAAGCCAAATAGAAACTGTTTTTGTCAGAGGTGGATTGTCTGACCGGCTTGTAGACATTGTAAACAACTACTCTTCAATGCAAATAGATACCAGACACTCCATGGGACTGGAAGCCACCCCAATGTAAGCAAATGCTGCTACACGCTACACACATGGAGTGTTTGGCAGGGTCATGGTCTTTGTTTAAAGCGGTTTTTGCTACCTTCAACCGCTCTCAGAAGCTCGCGCTTTCTGCGCCTTGAAAAGACGTGGCATGACATCTGCGGTCGCTCCCTTTTTCGGCCGAGGTACTTTTGACCGACGCGTTTGAAGTGTGGAGGAAGTCGAAGCAGGCGAAGGCCCGGTGGATCAGTCATGGTTGAAACTTCGAAACGGGTAAAAGATGGGAAAACAAGGGACTAATAGGGAAAGCATGGGTCGGTGTTGACCTCCAAAACAACCTGGACCCGTTCGATCGGTGTGCCCCACAAGACCAGTTCGGCGGTCCTGAAACCACCGGTCTTACTGGTTCTAAGACCACCGGTCGGTCTTGGAAGGCTTATGTGGGTGTCTCCCTTGCAACCAATTTTCGGGTATTTGGTCGGATGCAGTCGAAGGTTGTTCCTCCGCCCTTCATGGACCACACCAGTCTTGCGGATACGCCCAGGTTCGAGGTTCATGAAACAGTTTCAGATTCTCTTCCGCACGGAGAAAATCCCATGATACTCCCAAGTGTCGCGGAAACCAACAATTCTGCGCTTGTGGATGAACATGACATACTCAATAATACGGAATCCAAACGCCATGCCTTGGAGGTGTGCCTTGACTGCCTCGAAAACACCGTGTTTTCCGGTCCATCGATGGCGAACCAGGGACAGCCTCAACGCCAGGTCCCGGTCCACACAGCCATCGAGAATCGGGACGTGCAGGGCAGCGGTGCTCAGCTGTGGGGGGTGGGAAATCCATAGGCCTCTCCTATCCCTGCCCACCAGGGGCTGTATTGATAGGTGGACTGTAGGCCCGCTGTTGCTGTTGCTGTTGCTGTTGCTGTTGCTGCTGCTGCTGCTGCTGCTTGTGTTGGTGTTGGTGTTGGTGTTGGTGTTGGTGTTGGTGTTGGTGTTGGTGTTGGTGTTGGTGCTGCTGCTGCTGCTGCTGGTGTTGGTGTTGTTGTTGTTGTTGTTGTTGTTGTTGTTGTTGTTGTTGTTGTTGTTGTT